CTCTTTGACCTGTTTGTTTCCTCTCCACCTATCCTCTCCTCTATCCATCTTCTATCCACCTCCCACTCTCTCCCTATTTATTTCAGAACCCCCTTCCCCTCCCCCTTTTCTGATGAAGGGTCTAGGCCCGAAACGTCAGCCTTTCTGCTCCTATGATGCTGCTTGGCCTGCTGTGTTCATCCAGCCCTGCACCTTGTTGTCTTGGGGGGTAATAGGCCTGGTTAGATTTGTCTTGCTTTTTGTGTACAGGTCATACTGGGCCACTTTCCACATTGTTGGATAGATGCCATTTTTCTGTTCAAAAGTTGATAGATTGGGAAATGTTCATATACAAAGGTGTCCTTGTATACCAGTTACTGAAAGCAAGCATGGAGGTGCGGCAAGAAGTTAGGAAGGCAAATGGTGTGTTGGCTTTAATTGCAAGGAGATTTAAGTACAGGAGCACGGATGTCTTGCTGCAGCAGTACAAGCCCTTAGTGAAACCATACATGGTGTATTGTGTGCAGTTTTGATCTTCTTACCTAAGAAAATATATACTGACCACAAAGGGAGTTCTGTGAAAATTCAAAAATTTGAGACCATGAGTTGCATTATGTAAAGTGTTGGACTATGAGCTAAAGGTTTCTGTGATGGACAGTGTTAAAGGACAGTAGATCTCAACCCATGTAAAATTGGAGTGCTGTGAATGTTAATGAGTTGGGCATTTCTGTAGGATATGGTTCAGGAGACTGGCATTTAGTTTGATTTTCATTTTCTTCTTAATCGTCAAGTTAACATAATATGCTCCTTTCTTCCTTTACCCATTGGATGCATTTTGCATTTGGAATTGTGGAGATTTTAACATATTAAGATAAATAGAAGCCTTTTTAAAATAAATATATAAGGGTAATTTTAATATTTATCAAAGTGTGCCTGATTTTAACGATTGTAACTAGATTTGCTAGTTTGGAGTTTTGAATAGTGTTCTTGATAAATGAGATTCTTTTCCAAAAAATCCTTTATTTATAAAATTTGTGGAAGTACATTGTATAACAATTCAAATTTGACATTACGTAAAGTGCAACACAATTGAATTATTTTCCATAATATTTTTTTACATGGTTTCAAACCCTTTGGTACACTATTGGCAGGAGCACCTTAGACTGTGGACTTTCCAAGTAAAACCTTGCAGCCATTGCTGAAAATTTTTGTGAAGTCCTTAGTATGTAGTCCTGGAACTTGGAGAGAGCCAGTCTGCGATATTTGATTTTTAACAGCTCTTCACACTGGAACACTAACTGGTTGTGGGGCAAAACAAAGAGCATCTTTCATTGAGTGAATAGTGTTGGAGAAATATAATCATTCTTAGTGTACTGCTTGGCTTGCCATGGTCATATGACCTCTTCCTCTGCACTAAGTGCTTTTTTAAAATTCATTAACGAAATGAGGGTGTTGCTGGCTAGGCAGCATTTACTTTTCAGAGTCAACCCCATTGCTTTGGGGGTGTGGAGTCACATGTAGGCCAGACCAGTTAAGGATGGCAATTTCCTTCCCTAAATGACATTAGTGAACCAGATGGGTTTTTCCCCTGACAATCGACAATGGATTCACAGTTATCAAATTCCAGATATTTATTGAATTCAAATTCCACCATTTACCGTGGCAGGATTCAAACCCGGGTCCCAAAACATTATCTGGGTCTTTGGATTAACAGTCCAGTGATAATACCACTAGGCCATCACCTCCCCACGTTTGGATTTTTAGAGCTGTAAGAGAGCCAGCTATTGAAAGAAACAACAAGGAAGAAGTTGAAAAAAGACTCCTTGCTGATGTGGGGATAAAATCGGGGATAAAACAGAACTGAAAGATTTTCCTTTTTAGGGACGGGCAATTACTGTTGGCCCAGCCTGCATTGCAGCCATCCCAAGAGTGATCAAGTAAAAGTGGCAATAGTAGGAAATAGAAGAATTAATAAATAGCCTAAATAACCTAAAAATTTCATCCCTTCTATCGGTACTGAGGCAAGTGTGCTACCAGTTGTATTGCAGCCCAGATCTCACTCAGGAACTGAAAAAGACAGACAAAAAAGATTCTATAAACCTTGAAAATGCATTTGCAACCCCATTATCAATGTTTCAGAGATAGTAGGAACTGCAGATGCTGGAGAATCTGAGATACCAAGGTGTCGAGCTGGATGAACACAGCAGGCCAAGGAGCGTCAGAGGACCTTCCTGCTCCTCTGATGCTGCTTGGCCTGCTGTGTTCATCCAGCTCTACACCTTGGTATCTCCCATTATCAATGTGACTTATTCAACAACAAAGCTGAACGGGAGAGGGAGACTTTTTATTCATTGATGAGATGTAGACATCATTGACTATGTTAGTACTTATTGCCGATCCCTAATTGCTCTGAAGAAGGTGGTAATGAGCTATCTTCTTCAACTGTTGTAGTTCTTGAAGTTTAGGGGCACCCACAGCGACGTTAGGAAGAAATGTTCCAGGACCTTGACCTAGCAACAGTGAAGGATTCGTGATACAGTTCCAAGTCAAGATGGTGTGTGGCTTTGAAGAGGAGAACTTGCATGTGGTGGTGTTCCCATGCGTCTGCTCGCCTTATCCTTCTGGATAGTAGAGGTTGTGGATTTGGAAATTGCTGGCAGAGAAGACTTGAGGGTGAGTTACTGCAGTGTATCTTGTAGATGGTACATATTGCTACCACTGTGCATTAATGGTGAAGGGAGTGAAAGTTAGAAGTGGTGGATGAGGTGTGTAAAGACCTTGACTTTTTGAAAAAGGGGCAACATAGATTTATGTGTGCTGTTGGTAAATAATACAGGCATACTGCATTTAAGATGTGGAAACAACGGAGGATTTCCTGCGGGAAGCATAGTTGTCCCTGGTAGCATTAAAGGAAGTTTCAAAACCCAGGTTGATTAATTTGGCAACCAAACTGGAGGTAGCATTGCCTGGTAAAGTCAGAAAGGCAGAGACAATTGGGGTACTAGCACATCACTTGCATTTACAGGAAATACAAAAGAATGCAGTGAAATGTCAGAATCAAATCAAGTGACTTTCAATTATTGTTAAAGCAGCCTGAGCTAGAGATGGCGTAAAAAGATAAAGACAGGGAAGAAGAAGACAAAAAAGAACAGAGAAAGATTAAGGGAAATGGAATTGAAAAGAATGGAAATAAGAAAATGATAATTAGAAGTGCAAAGAGAAGATAAAGTGCAGGTATGTGACTTTAAGCTTAAAATGCTACAGTTAAAACAAGAGCTATTGGATACTGATGTAGGTCTGGTGGTAACAATCTGAATAAAAATTTGAAGTCCAGTAAGGAAATAGTTATGTTTGTGTAGGTCTTACCAAAATTTGAGGAAAAGGATATGGAAGCATGTCCTATGGGAAAATGAGTAGGCAAATTAATTGGGCAAAAGAGGTCTGGACATTATCTGTCAACTATGCATGAACAAAGCACAGGAAGTTTATACTTCATTGTCAGAGAAGGATTAAGACTATAAGACATAGGAGAAGTAGGCCATTCGACCCATTGAGCCTGCTGCATCATTCAACAAAATCATAGCTCATCTCATAATCCTCAACACTACATTCCCACCTTTTCTCCGTAACCCTTGATTCTGTTACAAATTCAAAACAATATAATTAATGACAGAGATAGTAGGAACTGCAGATGCTGGAGAATCTGAGATAACAAAGTGTAGAGCTGATGCACACAGCAGGCCAAGCAGCATCAGAGGAGCAGGAAAGCCGACATTTCCGGCCTAGACCCTTCTTCAGAAATGGGGGAGGGGAAGGGGGTTCTGAAATAAATAGGGAGGGAGGGGGAGGCGGATAGAAGATGGATAAAGGAGAAGATAGGTGGAGAGGAGACAGACAGGTCAAAGAGGCAGGGATGGAGCCAGTAAAGGTGAGTGTAGGTGGAGAGTTAGGGAGGGGATAGGTCAGTCCAGGGAGGATGGACAGGTCAAGGGGGTGGGATGAGGCTAGTAGGTAGGAGATGGGGGTGGGGCTTGAGGTGGGAGGAGGGGATAGGTGGGAGGAAGAACAGGTTAAGGAGGCGGGGACAAGCTGGGCTGGTTTTGGGATGCGGTAGGGGGAGGGGAGATTTTGAAGCTTGTTAAATCCACATTGATACCATTGGGCTGCAGGTTTCCCAAGCGAAATATGATGTGCCGTTCCTGCAACCTTTGGGTGGCATCGTTGTGGCACTGCAGGAGGCCCAGGATGGACATGTCGTGTGAGGAATGGGAGGAGGAGTTGAAATGGTTCGCGACTGGGAGGTGCAGTTGTTTAGTGTGAACCGAGCGTAGGAGTTCTGCAAAGCGGTCCCCAAGCCTCCGCTTGGTTTCCCCGATGTAGAGGAGGCCACAACGAGAATAGCGGATGCAGTATACCACATTAGCAGATGTGCAGGTGAACATCTGCTTGATGTGGAAAGTCTTCTTGGGGCCTGGGATGGGGGAGCCTCAACAGCCCTCTCTGGTAAAGAATTCCAAAGATTCACAACCGTCTGAGAGAAGGAATTCCTTCTCGTCTCTGTTTTAAATGTGCAACCCCTTGTTCTGAGATTATGTCCACTAGTCCTAGACCCTCCTGTGAGGGGAAAGAATCTTTCTGCATCTATCCTGTAAAGCGCTCTAAAATGTTTGTATGTTTCAATAAGGTAGCCTTTCATTCTTCCATAGTCCAACAAGTACCAGGCTAATCTACTCAACCTTTCCTCATAAAACAGTTCCTTATACCTTGTATAAGCCTAGTGAACCTTTTCCAGAATGTCTCCAATGCAGTACATTTCCTGCTGTTTTTCTTTGTTAGTACACTCTGTCCCTCCAGTCCCACTCCTGGTATCATTATCCAAATAACTGTTCTGTAATTCTGCCATATCCTCTTGCTTTGTGAGCCTATATTTGCCCTATCCCAACCCCTCATCTATTCCTTCTTCCTTTGAAAGTGCCACAGGGTCCAGAGGGGAGCAAATAACATCTCTGAATCGATTGAGTAGGAAATATTCACAACCTCATACTGACCACTCAGCACAACGTGTAAGAGCACGTCTCTCCCCGCCTGCTGCAGCGGAGCTGGGGGGTTGTATTCCTTCCGTAGGAGGCAGTCTCGTGCCGGCTGGATCTGCCTGCCCTATCGGAAGCAAGAAGTATATGTGGGTGAGTGAGGGTTTTTCTTAAAAAATAAAGAATAATATTGCACTTTGCACGAATTAAATCTGGTGCCTTAGGCACGGTGGCCGTGCAATATTTACGCACGCTGAGTATGGCGGCGGTAGCGCTAGCGATACCCGTTTAGCGTTTAATCGATTGCGATCACTTCCAACATGTTTTACACGACCGCAGCTCACCCTGTCGTCCGGGGTGGGGAAACGTGGGATCAGTGGTGGTGTGTTTGGGAATAATTTGCACCTTTGCAATCAGCACTGAATAGCTTTCTGTGCTCGGGGAGAGCTGCCGGGAGATTGCAGCATGGACTCTCTCTCTCTGACTCTCATTACTGCCAGAGCCAGGACCTTGGGCCTCCACAGTCCCTGCTCAGCTTGTTCCTAAACCTAGTATCTGTTCATAAAGGAATAGCGGGTTTGGGTGGGAGAGCAAGTAAAGATGAGCTGTTGTGCATAAACCTCACGAATTTAAAAGAAAAGCCAAAAACACTTAGGGTAGAGATAGTAGGAACTGCAGATGCTGGAGAATCTGAGATAACAAGGTGTAGAGCTGGATGAACACAGTAGGCCAAACAGCATCATAGGAGCAAGCTGACGTTTCGGTTTCTGAATAAGGGTCTAGGCCTGAAACGTCAGCTTTCCTGCTCCTCTGATGCTGCTTGGCCTGCTGTGTTCATCCAGCTCTACACCTTGTTATCTCATAACACTTAGGGTAGACTGTGTAAAAGAAGGACTTATGTTTAAGTCATAGGGTCATACAGCATGGAAACAGACTCTTTCGTCCAACCAGTGCATGCCAACTATTATCCCAAGCTAAACTAGTCCCACCAGACTGCTCCTTGCCTATATCCGTCCAAACCTTTCCTATTCAGATGTCTTTTAAATGTTGTGATTGTGCTCACATCCACCACTTCCTCCGGAAGTTCATTCCCCACATAACCACCCTCTGTGTGGAAAAAAAAATGCCCCTCATGTCATTTTTAAATCTCTCTCCTCTCACCTCAAAAATGTCCCATTTCTGGGGAAGGATTACCGGACCCAAAACGTTAACTCTGATTTCTCTTCACAGATGCTGCCTGACCTGCTGAACTTTTCCAGCAACTTCTGTTTTTGTTAAAAATGTGCCCCCTAGTCTTGAAATCACCCATCCTAGGGAAACGACAACTACCATTCACCCTATCTATACCCCTCGTTATTTTATAAACTTTGATAAGGTCGCCTGTCAACCTCCTACACTCCAGTGAAAAATGTCCCAGCCTATCCAGCCTTTCTTTATAACTCAAACCTTCCATACCTGGCAACATTTGCGTAAATCTCTAGGAGTACACTTAATAATAACCGAAAGATCTAAAGTGTTTGAATCCTGTTCAAGAAAGGGTGTTTTGCTTTGAAGTGTTGCTGCAGTTGGAAGGTTGAAAGCCCAATTTCATGGCACCCAGTTTGTGCACAGCAAGCTCCTGTAAACCGCAGTCTGATAATGATCGATAATTTATTGTCGTGATATTGATTGGAGGATAAGGATTGGCCGAGACACCAGGGATAACTTACCAACGCCTAAATATAAACTGTTCCAGAAGATCTTTCATATCTACCTCCGAAGGCACATGTGCTTAATATCTCATCTTAAAGTTGGCACCTCTGGCAGCTAATTTAAATTGGCCCAAGCGGACTGTCTCCTGCTCCCCATTGTGTCTGTACCGGCTTCCAAAAGAGCTACCAAGCTAGTCTCACTCTCCAGCCCCAACACCCAGCCCTCTAACTTCAACACTTGCAAATACATAGCCAGCTCCCTTTTGAAACCTCCTATGGAATCTGCCTCCATCACTCTCCCAGGCAGTGCATTCCAAATCCTAACAACTCTCTGAGTAAAGAAGTTTCACCTCCTCTCACTCCTAGCTGTCTTGCTGACAATCTCGAAATTGTGACTCTTAGTTTGTGACGTACCAATTAGTGGAAACAGAATATCCTGCTTTACTCTGGCAAAATGGTTCATAATTTTTGAACACCTCGATGAAAGTCATTGAGTGTCTTTAAGATAAATAGATAGTTTCTTGATTGGTAAGGGGATCAAGGGGTTATGGGGAGAAGATAAGAGCATGGGGTTCGTATCAGCCATGAATGAATGAGGGGAGCAGACTCAATGGGCTGAATGGCCTAATTATGCTCCTATATCTTATGGAAATACATATAATGTGGTTAGGTCCCAACTCGACTGTTTTCAGTTCTGGTCACACATATTATCGGGGGGCATGTGATTGTACGAGAGAGGAAGCAGCATAGATTTATACTGACTGGATTGGAGGGTCTGAGCTATAAGGACAGAATGGATAGGCTGCTGTTGATTTCCTTGGAGCAGTGAAGTTTGAGAGAGGACCAAATGGAGGTGTATAAGATTGTGAAGGGCATGAACAGGGTGCATAGGAAGGAATTTTCTCCCCTTAGTGGAGGGTCAGTAATCGGGACATAGATTTAAGGTAAGGGGTAGAAGGCTAAGAAAAGGGTTTAGGAGAATTTTTTCACTGAGGGTGGTGGGAGCCTTGATCTTACTGCCTGAAAGGGTGGTTAAGTCAGGAACTCTTGTAACCCTAAACAGCATTTAGAGATTTGTTTGTTGGTTCGCTCAGTTGGCTGTCAGCTTTTTTGTGATGTAGAATGACACCAACAGCGCAGGTTCAGTTCCTGTACCAGCAGAGATTACCATGAAGGTCCCTCCTTCTTGACCTCTCCCCTTGCCTGAGGCATGAGGACTCTCAGGTTAAAGCACCTCTAATGTGAGAGCAGCTCTGTGGTCCTCTAGGATTATGGTGACTATTTAGATAATCACTTGCCTTGTCATAAACTCCGAAGTTATGTCCTGAATTGGTAAAATGGAATTGTGTAGTTAAATCTTTGTTGACTATGCTAATAGTAGTGTATTCAATGGCGTTGACTGCTTTGCTAAACATAGGTCTATGAGAATCAATGTGGTTTTATTAATTGGAAATTATGACTTGACAGACTTAGTAGAGTTCTTTGAGGACATAACTAGAACTTGGATAAAATGGAGCCAGAAGGTGTAGAGTATTTAGATTTCCAATAAGATGCCGTACCTAAGAGGAGATCATGGTGTTGGGAATATATTAGCATAGATAGATGATTGGCCAACTAACAGGAAACAGAGAATCAAAATGAATTGATCATTTTCAGCTGGGCACACTGTAATAAGTGGAGTGTTCCTGGGATCAGTGCAGGAGCTACAACTATTTGCAACCTATATGATTGACTTAGACTGAGCGGTCATAGAGATATACAGCACGGAAATGGATCCTTCAGTCCAACTTGTCCATGCCAACCAGATATCCTAAATAAATCAAGTCCCATTTGTCAGCATTTGGCCCATATTCTTCTAAACTCTTCCTATTCATATACCCATCTAGATACCTTTTAAATGTTGTAATCCTACCAGCCTCCATCACTTCCTTTGGCAGCTCGTTCTGTACACACACCACTCACTGCATGAAAAAGTTGGCCCTCAGATCTCTTTTAAATCTTTCCCCTCTCACCTCTAGTTTTGGACTCCCCTACCCTGGGGAAAAGATCATGGCCACTTATCCTATCCATGCCCCTCATGATTTTATAAACCGCTATAAGGTCATCCCTCAGCCTCCGATGCTGCAGGGAAAATAGTCCCAGCCTATTCAGCCTGTTCCTATAGCTCAAACCCTCCAACCCTGGCAACATCCACATAAATCTCTGAACCCTTTCATAATGTTCTTTCATAAGTTTCATAATGTTCTTCCATAAGTTTCATAATGTTCTTCCAATAGCCGGGCCATCTGTATCCTAGCCAAATTTGAAGATGGTGGACAGATGAGTAGGAAAGCATATTTTGAGTAAGATACAGATAATCTGCAAAATGATACAGATAGATTAAATGACTGAGCATAAATTAAGTAGAAGCAGTACACTGTGGGAAAATGCGTGGTTGTCCACTTTAGCAGGAAGTGTGGAAAAGCAGAATATTATTTAATTGGAGAGAAACTGCAGAATGCTATGGTACTGAGGGATCTCGGTGTCCTTGTACATGAATTACAATAAGCAGCTGTAACAATTAATTTGGGAGGTAGATGAAATGTCAGCCTTTTATTTAGTAAGAGGGGTTGGAGTATTAAAGTAGAGAAGTCTGGCTACACTTGTACAGTGCATTGGTGAAACTGCACCTAGACTGTGTACAGTTTTGGTCTTCTTACTTAAGCAGGAGGCTTGCATTGAAAGCAGTTCAGACAAGGTTTACAAGGCTGAGGGCAAAACAGACACCAACCACTACGGACCCATTAATTTTACCTCTATTCAATATAAAGTGAAACCAATTATCAAGTCAAATGATCATCTAGAATAATGGCTAAATTAGTCTTGTTATTAAAGGTAAAAGTTCTTCTTGGCTCTGGCAGTGATGCCCCAAGTAGATTTTTGTAAGCTGTGTTGCGTTGTTCGGGGTCTGTTAGCTCAGTTGGCTGAATGGCTTGGTTGCGATGCAGGGCGGGGGTTCAATTCCCACACTGGCTTAGGTCACCGTGAAAATTCTGCCCTCTCAATCTTGCTCCTCGCCTAAGGTGAGGTCACTCTCCAATTAAACTCAGCGCCAGCCATCTCTCTCGAATAAGAGAGCAGCCCTATGGTCCTCTAGGACTATGGTACATTACCTTTACCTATACTATGTGATTACTTCAACTTCCAAAATGCTTTTAACAAACTTCATTGTAAAAGACAATTCATTAAACTCAAAGCAGTGAAGATTTAGGGGAAATCACGACAACATACAAGAAACATATAAGATTAATAAAGGAGACATACCGGAAATACTGAGTGAAATGCTTCAGTTTACAGTTTCTAATTCAGAGCCTTGATGCAAAGTAATCATATTTGCAAATGATATCAATCTTGGAAAGACAGTGAAATTGGAAAGACCAGCTGAGAAATAACAGAAAAAGATATGCCAGTGGGTAGATGAATGGCAGATGAAGTTTCATGTGGTTGTGTAAAGTGCAACAAGCAAGAAAGAGAAAATAATGAACTCTGTTGCGTTTTAGTGCTAAGTATATCCAATCAGTGTATAGCAACAATTAACATACCTCATCGGATGTTGAACTGCACAAAGAAGCAATGGAACGCATTTTGATTTCCATTATGGTCCATTAAAATAGAACATATGCTAGGGGATGATTGTCATCAAACTCTAATGTTATTGAATAGTATACCTAATTAAAGATACCAAAAGAAAAGCGATATTCAAAAGACTGCATAGAGAAGAGCTAAGGGATTGATGCCCATCAACAGGGACAAATTACGTGGAGATGATGGAGAATCTTACCTTTTTCAGTGGAGAGATATTTGTGGATATATAGAAATTTATTTAGACTATAAAAAAGGCTTATATTAAAATAAACTGTAGATCTAAAAATAGGTGACACTAGTTTAATTGAAGAAAGGGTTAATTTAGGGCGGACATTGAGAACTCATTCAGATTGTTCAGAGAATATAATTAATCACAAAAACTTTAATTATTTTAAAGAAAATATTAACTACTGTAATGGTAGGGGTGTGTTGTTTGCTGCAACATCGACATGGATTGCTGGCTTAGTGTTTGAGAGAAATGCCAGTTAAAAGCTTCAGTGTTGCTTAATCTGTGATTCAAGTTTGGTTAATTACAGTCTGTTTGCTTTCCTAAGGTGCTTGTGTGTCTTTTACAGGTTGCCAAGATTTTAGAACATTGAATCCTATTTGTGTTAATTAAAAACATGGAAAGTCCAGCACAAGTTGCAAAAGGAAAAGGGGTACGGAAAGCAAGGCCTCCATCTGTTAAGACTTCTTTCAACAATCCTTACAGTATAGGATGGGTACCCTTGGATGGGAATATCATGACATTCATCCTGGAAAAGCTAACAAAAACATTTCAAGAGACTGGCTTGTGCAAAGTTGAACCCATTGTGAGACCCAGGAAACCAAAACCTTCCAAGGCATCAAGAAGTCAAGAAAAGAGAAATATGGAAGAGAATATCGAAGATCAGCAGAAGACTAAAGAGGTCAAAGAATTGAAGGAAGAGCTTTCGGTGATCAACATTCAAGAATCTAAACAAGGATGGACTAATGTGGGGTTTAGGAAACAATTGGCAATTGGAATCAACGAGGTCACTCGGGCTTTGGAGAGAGATACGTTGTGTTTGGTTCTGGTGTGTAAGTCAGTGAAACCCCCTTTGATGGTTCATCATCTCATCCAACTGAGCGTGAGCCGGGAGGTCCCTGCATGTCTAGTTCCCCGTCTGAGTGAAACAGTGGCACCAGTGCTGGGTCTGAAATCTACACTCGCACTGGGATTTAAAAAGAATTCAGAAGCTTTTATTGAGACAGTTAATGCCATTACTCCACAAGTACCTCCCTTAAATGTTTCGTGGATACAGCAAAGTAAGGTAGTTGTAAATGCTGAAGGACTGGACACAAATGAGGCAGATTGCGCTGGTGAAATTCCAAAGCTTGAATTAATGGATACCGCACTTCCGCAAAGTCAGAAGCGTAAATTCAATGAACTGTCATCAAGTGAATTAGAATTAGACACTCCAACAAGCAAAGCAATGGGCGTGACATTGCTGCCTCTGAAAATAAAGAAGATAGTTCCAAATCCAAATAAAATTCGAAAGCCAAAAAAGAACAGGAAAAATAAATAAACGTCAGATTGCGGAAACTTAAAATAAATCTAAAAGTATACAACTCCTTGGTTGGTTAGCATCTATTGACCGAAAAGACAAGTCAAATGTGTTGATTCTTCATCAGAACTGCTGTAAACTTCAGATTAAAAAGCCATGGAATGAAGGCAGACTTGTCGATGTTCTTGAACATTTAATGTACTAGCTTATTTTTTAAAACATGTAAATTTAAAATTGTGTTACTCTTTTCTGTTAAGTCCTTCATGGGATCGAAGCTGACAAGGTTAACATTTGCTGCCCATTCCTAACTGTCCTTGGGAGATGATGTTAAGCTGTCTTCCTAAACTGCTGCAGTCTGTTGGGTACAGTTACATCCACAGTGCAATTAGGAAGGACGTTCACAGGTTTTGAACCAACAATCTTCTCTGTATGATGGTTGGATTTTACAATCATATAGTTGCTTGGCTGTGCAGAACTTGAGTTTTGCTGAAAAAAAGAGAAACATTGTCCAAGACCATATCCTGATGGTCTTCAGGGGGGTATTATAATAATAATAAAGACCAAAATGAACAAGATTTTGTAGTTTGTTTAATATTAAAAAAGGGCATTGCTGGCTAGATCAGCATTTATTGCTTGACTTTAGTCAACCATATTTCTGTGGGTCTGGAGCCACTTGTAGACCAGATAAGGGTGACAGATTTTTTTCCCTCAAATACATTATGAAGTAAATTGTTTTTTATGACAATTGATAGTGGTTATATGATGGCCGTTAAACTAGTTTTTAATTCAAGATGTAATTGAATTCACATCATCATCTGCCATGTTCTAAAACATTAACCTGGGTCGTTAATCCATTGACATCACGTGTCACTACCTTGTCCTCCTACAGTTGCTGATTGGTTGACGATGGAGCCTTAATAAGAGCCCACGGTATTGGAGCTAGTATTTTAATATGGATAAAGGATTGACTAGCTAATAGAAATCAGACGTGATGAGGGGTCATTTTCGAATTGGCAGTCTATAACTAGTGGTATTCTGCAGCGATGGGCATAATTATTTACAATATAAATGACTTGGATGAGGAAAGGGAATGTTTGTGAGTGACACAGAAATAGGTGGAAAGACAAGTGGTGAGGATGACACAGTTTTAGACAAGTGAATGGGCAAAATGTTGGCAGATGGAATATAATGTGAGGAAAAATGAAGTTGTGCAACTTGACAGGAAGAATAGAGGAGCTGCATGTTATTTAAGTGGAAAAAGACTGTAGAAAACTATAGAACAGAGATATTTGGGGGTCCTTGTCCATGAATCTCAAAAAGCTAGAATTTAAAATGGGTAATATGAGAGACAAATGGAATGTTGGCCTTTATTTCAAAGGGAATGATGAGTTTGCTAAAACTGAATAAGGCTCTACTAAGACACAACTGGAATATTGTTAACAGTTTTTTGCCCTTTATCTAAGTAAGTAAATTCTGGTATTGGAGGCTGTCCAAAGGAGATTCACTAGGTTGATACCAGGTTTAGAGGGACTGTCTTATGAGGAGTGGTTGAATAGATTGGGCCTAAACTCAGTGGAATTTAGAAGAATGAGAGGTGACCTTATTGAAATATGCAAGAATCTTAGAGGACTTGACAGGGTAAATATGGACAGCTTGTTTCCCCTTATGGCAGAGTCTAGGATCAGAGAGCATAATTTGAGAATGAGGGGTTGCAGATAGAGGTGAAGAGGAATTTCTTCTCTTGAAGCTTGTAAATCTGTGAAATCCTTTACCATGTATTTATAATCAGCCAAGGAATCAAAGATTATGGAGAAAAGGCAGAAGTTGAGGATTATCAGAGCAGTCTGTTTGGCTGATTGGCCTTTTATGGTCTTATGATTGTAGAGATACTGTAATGGAGAAGGCATCAGGGAACAGGTAGCTATCAAAAGATTTATTTAAACTTGGCAGGGCAAGGTGTTCAATGGGGAATGCATCAAGGAACGACTGTCCCTTCAAGCTTTTGTCAATTGAAAAGGCACAATGTGTGGACATGTTCTTTCTGTTTGCAAAAGAGAGCCCTGCATGTAAATGAGTCACATAGTGAACCAGACTGAAACTTAAAATGGTGGTTTGTGCTTAGAATTACACAATCATGATACTGAGCAAGAGTTTTCCAATAGTTGAATCACTTGCTGTGTGACTCAATGACCTACTGTTGACCATCTTGTTCTGAGGTTTGTAACTGGACTGATGCCTTTGACCTTGTTAGGAGGGAACACCCCCTGTGCAAATCTCTAGCTTCACCTGTTTGTCAAATCTTTTTGAGATACCTAATCTCAGAAAGAAGGGTGCTCTACAGTAGTGGGTTTAGGCCCATTCGTGAGTTTGCGAGAAATACAGCAAGCAAGAATCTACTCAGGAAAGCCATTATCACATAACATAAATTTGTGCCTTATTTTAGCATCAAGCTTCTACAGTGAGCAAATGGCTTGCATCTTATGTGTGAAATTGCTGGTAAGGCCAATCTTAGCATGTGGCATATATTGATATAATGAATGTGGCTTGTGGTAGACTATAATAGAGAATCCATTGGTGGATTTCTCATCTAGCAAGTAAAGGAAGGGGAGGGGGTGTGTGGTTTGCTTGACTGCTCCATATTCCCTGTCCCTCCCCACTTAAAGAGATCATCAATAAGTTGCAAGTGGCTTATTCCTTTCCACATGGTCTGTTTGAATGCTTGTTGGTGGAGGTGAATGAAATAGGCAGGAAGTGATCCAGCCCGTGGAGAAAGGTCTTGGTTATGATTTAAGAGATCCGGCAAGATCGTTTACTAACAGGAAACGCAGAGCAGTCATAAATGGCACTGCGGACGCTGTAAATCAGGAACAAAAACAGAAGTTGCTGGAAAAGTTCAGCAGGTCTGGCGGCATCTGTGAAGGAAAAAACAGAGTTAACGTTTCGGGTCCGGTGACCCTTCTGAAGCCTGAACATTTTACGATTTATATAAATAACTTGGGTGAAGGAATTGAAGTTACTGTTCCTAAACACAGGTAAGTAAGAAAATGATGTGAAAAGGACCTAACAATATGAAGGAAACTAATGGGGAAAAAGGATAAATAATCCCATTGACCTGATGGATTGTATCTTGGATATTAAATGAAGAGAGTAGTAAGGGCGTGGAATGCCCTGCCTGCAAAAGTAGTAGACTCGCCAACTTTAAGGGCATTTAAACGGTCATATGGATGATAATGGAATAGTGTAGGTTAGATGGGCTTCAGATTGGTTTCACAGGTCGGCGCAACATCGAGGGCCGAAGGGCCTGTACTGCGCTGTAACGTTCTATGTTCTTTGTTCTAAGTAGCTAAGAGAGGTAGATGTACTGGTGTCAATCTTTCAAGAATCCGCAGTTTCTGGAAAATTCCCAGGGGACTAGAAAACTACTAATGTAACACCTTTAATCAAAAAGGGGAAAAAAAGACAAAAAAAAAAACTATAGGCCAGTTAGTTTAACATCTTAACTGAGAAAGTGCTAGACTTCATTGTAGAGGGTATTATACAGCACATTTAGAAATACATAACATAATCAAGCAGAGTCAACATAGCTTCATGAAGGGATAGTCATGCCTGATAAATGTATTAGAATTCTTTGAAGACGTGACAAGCATGATAGATAAAAGGAAACCAGTGGCTGTTAGAATTTTGGATTTCCAAAATGTTTCCAATAAGATACTGCATGTAAGGCATCTAAGAACCCAGGGAGATGGAAGTAGTATATTGGCATGGATAGAAGTTTGGCTAACTATTTAAAAAAGAGTTGAGATAAAGGGGACACTTTCAGAATGGCAAACTAACTAGTATCCACAGTTATTTGCAACATCAATGACATGGATGAGGGCAGTGAATTTACTATCACCAAGTTTGACAAAATTAGGTGGGAAGTCACGAGAGTCTATAGAATGATACAGACGAGCTGTGTGAGCATAAATTGGCAGATGGAATATATTATGGGAAAAAGTGAGGCTATGCACTTAGTAGGTGGAGGAACAGAACATGAGAGACTACAAAAAGCTGATTCTTTATATTCAATCGTGGGTATGGTGGGGTAAATGCAGTAGCTTTTGAGGTGAGTGAAGCCCTGAACTACTTTAAGTTGGGCTCTTGAGACTGGAATATGATGTGGAGGTGCCGGTGTTGGACTGGGGTGGACAGGGTCAAAAAAATACACGACACCAGGTTCTGGTCCAATAGGTTAATTTGAAAATGCTAGCTTTCGGAGCCCAGCTCCTTCCTCAGGCATAGTGTGAGAGAGAGGATGTAAGACACAGAATTTATAAGCAGAAAGGTAACAACCCCAAAACTGGCTGTCTCTTGTTGAAACTTTAAATCGGTAAGGAAGGAGACTACTGAGTAAAATGCGAAATCTAGATTCCTTTTAAGTCATTGTCCTAAGATAATTAAAGGTTTTATCAATGTATACAAGAGGCGACATCTCAAGTCAGACAATGCATTTTAGATGTGCGGTCTTGCTTGGAATCTGTCTATGTTTTAAGTTGGGGTCAGGTTGTCTCTAAATCTATACCAAGAAGAAAAGGAGGACTGTGTGTGGGGTCTATTTCTTACATCATTAGCAAAACATCTGATCACCTGGGTATAAATTGCTGGATGCGATCCATTAATCAAAATCACTTGAACAATGAGACTCTGGCTATAAATGTATTCAGACATAATCTCATAATACATATTCTAGTAGTCTGTCCTACACGATCCATGACCCTTTTTAGGTCATTTATCAGTTGGAAAGCGATCTTATGACAAGCTATCTAGCCCAGTGTCTGTTTACTAAACTATTTGCTCTAGAATGGGACAAGAGCTGAGATGCAGAAAGAGCAAAGCAGTGAGTGATTTCTCTCCCTCTCCAAACTACTTAACTTTCAAGCCCTGGCTGTCGATTTTGACTGTCTAACTGCTGTAAAGCTTTTAAAAAAGAACTCAATGTACCAGCTGAGATCTTCAGTGGAACAGAAATTGTCCAGCTATATCGTCAAGTCGTCGTGATGCCAATAGCAATAGGACTGAGGTCAGCCAGAAGCCAGCCAAGTTGCCAACCTTTTGAGTCATACACCCCTTTACAGTTGCATGCCTCGAAATTGATTAATCTTTCACCCCACTTTAATCTGATTCTGCAAATCATAGAATCCCTACAGTGTGGAAACAGGCCATTCAGCCCAATAACTCCCATTCCCCTACCCATGTATTTCCCCATGTCTAACCCACCTAGCCTAAACATCCCTGGACACTATGGGCAATTTAGCATGGCCAATAAACCTACCCTGCACATCTCTGGACTGTGGAAGGAAACTGGAGCACCTGGAGGAAACCCGCACAGACACAGGGAGAACGTGCAAACTCCACGTAGACAGTCGCCTGAGGGTGGAATTGAACCTGGGTCCCTAGAGCTGTGAGACAGCAGTGCGAACCATTGGGTCATCATGCCGCCCAATGTGAACATCGAATCTGTGGGAGGGGGGAGAGAGAAAGTTGGAAGTTTTTTCTTTACAAAGAACTTTACTTAGTGCGGGTTAAATAAAACTGA